ATAATTCTCTCTCCGGATTTTCCAAATCCTATGACCTTCAATGCTTAAGAATAGCTATTTACAAAGACAAGGAATAATATTCAATTAACTCCAAATACAAACTATGGAAGCTTGCATTTTGAGAGGAAAGATGAAAAGGCACGAAATACTATGTTTGAAGTATATCGTTATCATCGTATGGTATTGTCAGCTAACCATCATGTCATGCTTGATCCTTGTAGGTTATAAAAATTAACCTTTCAATCAAGCAATCAAGAAAAACAACGAGATCCCGAATATAAGCGGATATAATAAATGGCATTCTATTGATTTTTTGTCAGTTTTAAGAGGGTAGAAATGTTTATTGCCACAAGGGAGTAATTTTTTTGTGACAAAAACCGGATATTTAAGATATTTGCTCTTTGTGTTTTCGATATTGGAACATTTCATACTTGACCATGCAAAGTACCTGTTTGCACAGATTCTCTTTAGTTCTGAAGCTCTAAGGTTCCTTTAAATTTCTCAATCTGGAGAATATAAAGTGGGTCTGTTTTACACGACTTTCGCTGATTAAAAAAATTATGTTTTACACTTCCTTGTTTAAAAAAATAAGATCCTCTATATTGAATTTCTGTAACAACAAAAGTCATGTTTGTTCATGGACGTAAATTCGACGAAACAAAAAAAAACAAAAAAAAAAAAAAAAAAAAAAAAAAAAAAAACAAAAAAAAAAACAACAAAAAACAAACAAAACAAAAAAACAAAACAAAAAAACAATCACAACTGTTACGTAAAAGACCAATACTTTGAGTCAAATACTGAGCTGAGGTGTTACATTGGTTAAAGCAAAAACAGAAAGATCGTGAGTTTATGCTTAAGCTAGAAATAGCGTAAAGAAAACAAAGTAAAGATAATGATAATAAGTTAAGATCTTTGCAACTACAATGTATCTTTGAATGAGACATAGTGGTTGTGTTTTTTCTCCTGCGATTTCATTTTGCTATCTAAACACACTGGAAGAAAAGGGAGTTTACAACAACACCAGTTTTCTACACTCCATAAATGGGTCTATGCAATTGGAAAACATGCAAACTAAACAAAACATTGACTAAAATGCATTAAAATGTTTACAGGGTTCATTTTTTTTAAACTTTGAAAATATACCTTTACAAAAAGGTATATAGTGTATACAAGTATATTCAGTGGTATAATTTAAATAGTAATATCCAACAAAGAGAATTTTAAACAAAATCATCACCAAGAATATCCTGTCCTAGTGCAAGGGTCTTCTTTTACCCTCATACCCAGTAACCTCTTGTATATTTACCTGTATGAATGATAAATGATTTCTACTTGAACTTCATATTCCCACGTTGGCAAAATTCTTTGTATGTGGTAAAGGTGTATTCATTCATGATTTTTATTCAATGGTTCCTGTATTTGATACGATTTAGTGCATGTACATAAATATTTAAAAGTGTTTTACAAGATTCGCTGGTAACCAAAGCCTATGTGAGAGGACTAGTCATTTGAAACTGCGCAAATATATTTAAACAACTGACAGAGCTGTTTTCGAGTAATATGTAATGCAAGTCAAAGAAAGCTGAGACAAATTTTATAATGCCACTGAATGAGCTTAAAAGAGTATCAAAATTTCAACAAACACATGTCGACGGGTAGTCTGGGGAAAATGTTCGAAATCAAGTTTTAAAAATAAATTTGTCATTGGATGTCGGGGGAAAAAATCCTGTTTTCCAGCTAGATTCAGATTTTGATACTAATTATTGTATTTCCGAATCGTAGAGTGTATTTTTTTTCATGTCATGCTGTGGGCTAATTTTTGATTGGTTATATTTTATTATCGTTTAAGTTTCTCATCTGCAGTCCTTTCAATATTTAACAAACCATCCTAGAAACATTTCGAACGAAAAGTTTGATATTCTTTTAATATTTTTCCCAAAATTTGAATTAACAGGATTGTGGAAAGAGTTCAGCAGTTACCAAATAAAAGGAAGAATCCAAAAAAGATCCAAATATTCTTTGCATTTTTTAAAACAGAAAAATGGACAGACAGTTTTCAAAGTCTTTTATTTATAAGATTCTTTGCAAAAAAAGTCTTTTTTTATTCTTTCCCACAAAACTATTGAAATCTTATGTTTCATTGATTCAAAATGATGACAAAAGGATTAATGTAAAGTGTGATATACATGTAAAAAAAAAAAAGTATCGTCGTTAAGAATTTGTAATACTTGACAACTTTCTTTGGAAAAACTACCAACATAAACTTTATAAGAATAACATTCAAAGCCTTCAACCGTGCATCACTATGATTTTAGTAAATTGTAAGGTCATTTTTCTTATTGTTATTGCAAGAGAGATCGTGGTTCTTTGCAATGTTGCATGAAAAATTACTTAACAAATCGATAGCTTAAATACACAACAAATCTTTAAGAAAAGATTATATAATATAAAAATCTTTTTACACTATAATACACGCTCAAAAAAAAAATATAAATAACGCAATTTCACCTTGAAAAGATCACAACCTCTAGCCAAACAAATCGGTAAAGGGCGTAATTTTTTTTTAATTATTGTTTTCTAAATTTGCACTGACAAATTATATAAATCAACATGTACAAATCGTTTTTCTGGTTGTGGAAAAGATGAGTAGTAGGAGTACAGAAAGCGTGCACATCCTTCTGCTTGATTACATGTCGTGTGTACTACGGAGCAACGGCCGTGATTATACCTTGAGGAAACCAAGCAACCCATTTGTCCCAAAAGTTTTAAATGTCGGCGTAAGTTACGAGTTGACCTACTGCAAAGTAGCCTTTTTTCCATTTATGCAATAACTTCTAAATATACATGTATCGGTGCATTCCTATTTATTACCACCTTATCCCCACCTCTGGAATTTCCAAGGACCCGAATGTTATGCCCTCTTCACATTTGTATCGTATAAAGATTTTTGAGATCATAGTTCGTTATCGTCACCTTTTACTAAACGACATTATTTAAAACTTGTATCACAAAGACAGAGAAAAATAATCTATTAAAATCTAATGAAATAAATGCATTTTTTTAAAAAAAAATTAACCTGAGACAAATACTTATGTCACTCGCGCCTGTTGAATGCTAAGGAAGAAATGGCAATCATCTTGGGATTCTTGACTTGAAAATCTCATATTATGTGTAACGGACGACGGTATCTCATCTTCTTCACTTGATAATTCGGTTTATTAGTAGCTTTCTTTTATTTAGGTCAAGGTATCTAAAGAAACATTTGAAGTTTATAGGCTGCAATTAACTTAAAATATAACACACATTCAAGTGCACGAACGTCAAAAACAACCACCTGGCCGGTTTGAAAAGTGCATGAAAGATACTAGACTTGTAACTTGCTCCATATACTACAAACTTATATATGTAATAAGACACAATGGTGTTTTAAAATTTTATCCAATGGGAATGCAACCAAGAACTTAATTCTGTTTTCTTGTATCGGTCTCCTACAGTGAAATTTGATCATTTTGCCTTCCCTTTTGCTTGATTTTTCTTGGATTTAAGCAGAGAGTACATAAGTACTTTCTCTTAATGATTCATAACTTGCATCAAAGTGAAGATCGACAGAGTACCCCTCCCCTTCCCTTTCAATGGCTGGAACTAACGTCTACTTGTACATGTATATACACGATATAGCTCCCGATTACTTACAAAAATACTCAGTCTGATACATATGTGATGTTGCTTAACGTAAGCATTTGACGCATACTGGACAAAAGAAAGAAAATAAATCGGAGAGACGTTTAAAATGGGTGGGTTATCTTCCATGCAACAGTTACAAGTGTTGGCGTCAGTTGTATTAAGCGTATACTGGGACTAAATGATGGTGGGAAATGCTCAATGGGGGATGCACAACTTCTCCATTTCTTCGTTGTAAGCATATTTGTAAGAGGCATTGACCCTTAGCTTCAAATTAATAAGGGTATATTAAATTTTCAGTATATTTAAGTCGTTGCGAACAGAATCAAAAGTTCTAGGATTCTTTAAATTTTTTTTACAGTTCCTGGAGAGATACTGGTACAAGAAAAAAGTTCGAATAAGGTGAGGCTTGTTTCTCTTCCCTATTTCAATAAGCTAATTCAGAACTATCTCTCCGGCTGCAGAAAAAAAGATGAGTATGCGTGGATCAAAGGGGGGATGTATGTATGTAGGGAAAAACAAATTAATTTGCAAATACACAAAAACTTTCTGAGATTTCACCCGGAAATGAATGTTTTACATGTTCATACATATTGAATGTATTCTAAAACCTTGACCCTTCACCTAAAAAATAAGTTGGGTTATCCTTTAGGTTTCCTGAAGCTGTTGAATAAAATTTCATTGCATATAGAGATAAGAGATTTATGACCTTGACCTTTCACCTCAAATTCAATATAGGGGTCTTCCTTAGGCCATAGGGAGTTGTGTAAAATTTCATTGCAAAAGCCCAAAGGCGTGTCTACAAAAGTGGATCAGACAGAAAGATCGACTGACATACCGAACGAAATAATTTTCCCCCACTTTCAGTGAAACCGGGGGAGTGGGTGGATAACGAGTAGAAGTTGACGTAAAATAAAATTCAGTAGAGATGGAGTTTGAAAAAAGACTTGTGATTGAAACATGTTCAATTTACAACTTCCATTATTACCGTCCCGTCATATGTTTTCGTGGTATATGTGTTTTCGTGGTATTTTTAATTTTTCCGAATTCTCGTACAGCGCGAGATCGTAATGACGTCATATTTGTTATTAATAAAGGGGAATCCTATACTGATCTGCTGTCAAATAATGAACCGATTCGATACTGCTCAAATAAGTATAGCCACTGCATAGTGTACAGCTCACACATTTTCGGTAATTTGCTTAATGCAAATTTATTCGACGGGTTAAGATAAACAATAAAAACTTACTTAGTCAAATCAGAGGACTCCGCAAAATGTCGTCTGTTTACAATCCACTTGGCTACATGATCATGTGATAAATGGTGGGAATTTCCCGCTCTTGATATTTTTTTCTACGGTGATCCAGTAATGTCATTTTTATATATTTTCACGAAAAAGTCACATGTGACCAAAAAGTAAAAGTTGACACAGACAATTATATGCTGTTAATAAACAGTTATTTTGTCCAAAAATAAAAATATTTGTGTATATATATATTTTCAAAAATATTTAAATTATGTTTTGAAATGTTTTACATGTAAATAAAAACAATAAAAATTACTTTTAGGCCTCTCTCAAGAGAAAAAAATATAGAAGTTACTCACCCACACAGCTTACAAACGCCTACATAGATGTGGTGGAAAATAAGTTTTCAGTATATAAGGCTTCAAGGAAATATTCTATTCCTGAGCAAACACTAAGAGACAGAGTAAATGGTAATGTAAAGATAGAGACAACTAAATCTGGACCAGACCCATTGTTTAGTGAAGAAGAGGAGGCTAGACTAGTGAAACATATTCAACAAATTTCAGCTGTCGGGTATGGTTACACTCGCGTTGAGGTCATGAATCTGGGCACAGAGTATGCTATTGCCTTAGGAAAGCGAGACCGGGAGCACCCACTTTCCCTCCAGTGGCTGAATTCCTTCATTGACAGGTGGCCTGATTTAAAAGTAAGGCGTCCTAAAACAATATCAGAGCTACGAGCAAAAGCTACATCACGGGAGAGCATTGAAAAATACTTCAAAGAACTTGAGAGCATCCTTGACAAGTATGATTTACGAGACAAACCAGAATATATCTACAATGTTGATGAAAAGGGAATTCAACACAATCACTCTCCTCCTTATATTGTCGCTTCATCAGATATTGTACCCTCTGTTATCACAGCCGAGAAGTCGTCTACTGTTACAATTCTGGGATGTGGAAATGCTCTTGGATACCAGATTCCACCATTTTTTGTCTTCCCAGGTGCAAGAATGAGAAGGGAGTTGATGGAGGGTTGTTCAGTTGGAGCGGATGGTACTGTCAGCAAGACAGGGTGGTCCAATTCTGAAATCTTTACCACATACCTACAGAACCACTTTGTGCGATTTGCGAAAGGAAGAGTTACTGACCAGAAGATACTGCTTCTGTATGATGGTCATCGATCCCATTTTTCGCCAGCTTTGATTGATTGGGCCATAGACCAGGATATAATTCTTTACGTACTACCACCACACACCAGCCATATACTTCAGCCAATGGACATTCTCTAAAATCTATGGTAACGAATGCCATAAATTTCAGAGAACCCATGCTGGCAGTGTAAATAAATATAATATTTGTAACCTGGCTTGTAAAGCTTACACTGTTGCTCTGTCGCCTAACAATCTCAGAGGGGCTTTTCGAAGGACAGGAATATTCCCATTTGACCCTTCAGTCGTTTCACTAAGCAATGCATTTTTGGCATCGGACACTCGTAAAGAACTTGAAGTGAATGATGATGATCAGACTCCAAATAGCAGCGGCAGTGGAGAACAGGTACCGGTAGTTTGTGACACACAGGTTCTACAGATTGCCAGGAAAATAGGAATGTTGAGATGACTCAGGATAAAGATTGCCTAGTTATAGAGGAGACTTTCAGCACAAAGGCGTTCAGACTGAACAAATTCACATATCATCAGAAGAACCAAAAGAGTCATTGTTGTCATCTTTTTTTGAGAAGAAGAAACCAGTTTATTTCACGAAGAGTAACAAACAGCGACGCTCAATTAACAAAATTGTGGGTGGAAAAGCAATTACTGAGAACAGCGTCGCTAACCAGGTTAAAGACTATGTAGCTACAGTGACCAAGCCTAAGACAACAAAGAAGCTCAAGTTTTCACCTCCATTCAGACATTCAGAAGATCAAGACAGGAGTGACAAAAGCCTTCCTTCAGAATCATCTGATCCACCAGCAGCTTTATCTGCAGATCAGCCAGGCCCATCTGGAATACATGTACAGCAAACGATGCAGTCATCGTGAACCAGAGTGTCTCTCTTCAGATTCCGAAATAGAGGAGAGTGAGAAATGCTGTGTGTGCAAGTTATTTGAACCCAAACAACTTCGTAGTTGTGTGTCTATTGTCTTCACTAAATGGGGAAAATGCATGTTCGACAATTGCGACCACTGGGTGCACTTGGGTTTTGCAGAGGTAAGAGTTTTAAGGAGGCATGACATTTTCTATTGCCCTTGCCATGGTCTTCCAGCAAAATCAGCCATCATTGAATAAAATTGAACTAAAAACATTAATTTGATCACAATATATATTGTTGGTGTGAATAAATTTATTTTAAATTCTCATTTCATTTCAATAAATGTGTTCAATGTGATAACATTATTTTGCTCACAATATTAATTATTGCTACAAATAAATTTATTTCCAATTTTTCTGCCAATAAATGTATTTATTTTTTCAATAAAAGTAATAATTTTGTCACTATAACATTTATATGTTTTTTACCCAAATGGATTACCATAGATTACCTGATTTCTAAATTACCACGAAAACATATGACGTCAGCGAAAATTGTGATCCGATGCAGTGCAAAACATACGATGGTCCTCTGAACGAAAAATAAATGATATGTGAGTTTTAAAAAAATCAAAATAAGGAGAATAGTTGTTAATATCTGTAACTAAAAGCAACTGTATCAATTCTTCCAACTTAAAGCACTGCATGGCGCATAACCGCTAACGCCACGAAAACTCATGATTCGAGGGTACATGCATATCAAAAAATTCTCTATTCAATGTATTAGTATATTGGCTTCTCTTTGCCTTCGAAGAACATTTAATGTGGAATAATTTTTTTTGGGGGGGTTGTTATTTTTGTTTATCTGTTATTCACAAATTTGACTTTAAAATCTTAATTATATATACAACTTTTTGTTTCAATTGAGACTTTCACAGAATCTTTGTGCAATAATGTGTCATCATGTCATGTGCCTCCTATTTTACTTTTTGACGTGACACTTACATTTCGGGTCGCCCAGTACAGAGTTTCGGGTCGCCCAGTACAGAGAAAAACATGAACTTTGCCATTATAATCGTATGGGAGACGGGGGTATCATTTAGTGAGCCCAGTGCTCACAGTACCTCTAGTTTATCATAGTGATCGGTTCATATGTGCACCTTAATTTTGATTAAAAAAAAACATGATGATTGGAATCATTTAAACGCTATATCGATTCAAATTAATCTGAATCATAATTGACACCATTTCTTCCACTATGACGACAAAACCCTCTTCCGATTGAAAAAAGTCATTTAGATTAAATAAAATACGTGTTCTCACAATTAAGCAACTTGTTAAACCATTTAGAAGTAGAATTGAGTTTGATAGGTACCGAAGCCATTGTGGGCGAATTTGAAAGGATTGTCTTAATTGTGTAAGTACTAAACTGCAAGGAATAGTAAATAAATTCCTAACTTTCTCTCTCACAGTGATTCTTTTAGGAGAAAAAATCAAGCGATTGGTGAATAACTTGACATGCTGATGATGTTCCATTATACCACATAATATTGAGAATTTAGTATTATGCAAATTTTGGAGCGAGTTGCGTAATATGTATGAGTTACCTCTTCTTTTTTTTTAACTTATGTAGATAATTTTTTAATTATGTAGAGACGTCACCATATACTGGTTAAGTGCTTCAAATTTTTATCTCTACTCGGCACTCGGGGTCATTGAACAGTCAAGGATCTTAACAGTTGTGCCAACGCCTACCGTGACTCGGGCCTCGGCATTCAAGGTCTTATCCGAAGGATCCGCAACTTTCACTTCAAGTGCCGAGCGCATGGCGAAGGAATAATTGCTTCTCATATTTTTGGACTTAGGGCAGTCGCGGCCGAGAATCAGATTCCACCTCGAGATCTCCCGATCATGGAGTGAGTACTCTACCGACTGAGCTACCATGAACGGTGACATGTGAGGGGAATAAATTACAGACGTTGCCTATGCTATACTCTCAGATTGTTTGTCAGTGTCCATCTCTGTTGATATTTGATGCCAGGTAAACACTCCCAATGATTTTGACACAACACTGCAATGCTGTATTGTTTTATTTTGAATGGTCATCATTACATAATATGTTAATGTACGTTGTCATTTAAAAAAACAATATAGTTAATGGTTATCATCAAACTAGAAGTGGAAGTCCTTCCTCACGTTTCAATCCAGGGAACATGCCCGTATGTCAAGCTCTCCTTTAAAGCAAAATTGTGCGGGCTTAGCTATTACCTCTTGAGAATAAAAAAGTATAACAAGCAATAAAATGTGACTTTTTCCCACTGATTTCGATTATTTACGAACTGATTTTTTAGTACAGTGTATCGTTGTCATTCATTTGAAATGGTTTCGAATACAACTCAATGCTATGAGAAACTGATATTTCAAATATCAATTATTTTACGTCAGCACACGTTAATTTGTCGGCGTAGAAGGGTTAGAGATTGTTTCAAAGATATTATTTCAACCTCGAAGCTACTTGACACTTGTTTTCTTCCGTCATCGTGCGTCGTTCGATCAACCCCTTCCCTGAAACCACTGAACCATGCATTTTTAGCATATAGCATCTATGGGTGAAGGGAAGTAAAAATTGCAATATAGATGGTCCTTGCGCCCCCTCTCCCTCTAGGTCCTGAGGAGTTGACCTTGAACCAGCAAAATTAATAATTTTAAAAATCTTTTAAAATCGTCTTTACTCTTGGGCATCAATCAGTCAAATTGTTAGCATGATTGTGATCAGGATTAAACCCTCTACCAAAATTTTGAAACTCATGGCCTCAGGGCAGGGTCCTGGTGCTAAGGTGGGCTTCTGTTGAATTTAAAGGGATAATCCAAAATAATTGCATAGTTAAGATGAAAAAGGGTGTTTCTTCCGAAATTGTGCAATTCATTGTCCCAGGGTCAGGATTTCTGGTACCAGCGTGGGGATCTGTTGAATATTAAGTGAAATGTATAATTTCCATTAAAAATCTTCTCTGATCCTGGTAATAAGCAATTAAACTAAATACATATTTATGATATTCAAAATCGCCTCTTCCAAAACTGAATTGAGAATTTCATGGCCTCTTGGTAAGGTGTCCTGGTGTAAGAGCGAGACTTAAATGATAACATAGTGAAAATGCATTTATGAATTCTTTCAAAATCTTTTTGCTGCAGGGTATTAGGCCTTTGAACTAAATGTATATAGTTATGATGAGAAAGTGTATTTCTTCTAAATTTGTGAATGGTTCCATGGCTCTAGGGTCAGTGGTTCTCGTGCTAGGGCGGGAATCGTTTGAAAATATATTGCATTATGCCTCTCTGTATTAAGCGATGAACTTAATGCATAGATATAATGAGTAAGGGTGGATTTTTAAAATTTAAAAAAAAACACGTGCACGTGGCCTTAGGGTCAGAGATTTAGTGGGTGGGGCTCTTTAGAATTATATAAAAACTTTTTGATGCATTAATGATTTAAATATATTCTTCTCTTGTCCTTGGTAATAACGAAAGAAACTATTGTTTAGTTATGATGAGCAAGGATGTTTCTTCCAAAATTGTGGAATTTGTGGTGTCAGTTATGATGAGCAGGAGTGCTATTTCGAAAATGTGATATTTATAGCCTTTCGTTTAAAACGTTAGCCGAATTCAATTTTGGGAAGGTTTTTCGATGATACTCGGGTGACCTTTTTGGCCAATTTGCCTCTTCTTTTGAGGGATAAAAAAACATTTTTTCTTTGCTAAAATCGTCAAATGAGCTTCTAAGAATATCAATTAATTCTTATTAGGTTTATTTAAGCGTATTTTTAGTTATGATGAGCAAGGGTGCTATTTCGAAATTGTGATATTCATAGCCTTTTGCATAAAATTATCACAAAACCATTGATCATCTTCATGAATTCGAAATTTTGGAAAAGTTTTTTATATTTACATGCTTTGATTCCGCCAATCCACGGGCTCCAAGCCTGCTTCTCTCTAAAGGTGTTGTCCCGCCCTGCATTTTTTTTTTTGGAACCGCGCCAAGACATTCATGAGGAAATAAATTACATTTACAATTGGTAATTTTATCTCGGAAAAAGACATTGGAAATGTAAATATTTATAGATGATACTCAATAATTTACAGAAAAATTGTGTACCCCTATATTAACCAGCGGAATTGCTTAGAGGATAGTTTATCTTCCTTTTTTTTTCTTTTTTTTTTGCCTATTTATTTTTCATTTATTTTTATTTTACTTTTTTTTTTGGAAAAGTGAGACAGATCCTGTGTGTCCAGGCCTTGTGACTTAATCTTAAGACTTGTGAATTTTCGAAATGCTCAATATTAATGCAGATACTGAGCTGATTTTTGTTATGCTAGTAAGATTCACCTTCAGATTAACACATCTGCTTGAAATGTTCAATAGGGGTTTCCTCCCCTTATTTTAAGGGGGCTACGAGAATATACAAACAGGACTAGATATAAAACGGATTCTGATGAAAACATAACACTTCCATAAACTGTTTGTGTTACCCACAGTAAAGTTACATAAAAAAATCAATGGTTCAAGTATAAAGTATAAAATTTTATGCCTTTCCCCTATCCTTTGAGATTTTTTGTTTTCATTCAATTTTTGCAATATCATCAAATTCCAACATGAAGTATCTTTTGTTTTTCATTGAATAAAAGGCTCTAAGTACTTTATTCTGAAGATCAATATAAGTTGGTTACTGTTAAATGTCGTCTACTGCGGAAAAAGGATGCTCTTTTTTCAGTGTATAATTGATCTATCCTTGTTTATAGACAACTTTGATTAGAGCATCATCTTTGTAATTAAAATATCATTAAATCTCTCATTTTCCTATCGGAAATGAAGTATCACTAAAACTAAAGTGATGCATTACGATAGCGGTATTAAGTGAAATGTCATTACTTTACTGGTGATATAGAATATTATGTTAACTGTCTCTGACGATTGCATTATAAAAGACGTACAAAAGAAAGATGAGGATTTTCA